ATGGAAACTATGCTGAAAGCAGGGGGAAGGGGCAGGTGTGGCCAGCCCTCAAGTGAACTAGCCAAGGAGAGGGTTTAATTTCTCCCTCCCTGCCCCACCAAGGACAAAAGCTATCCTAGCAACAGTACGGGCTCATTACTACATGAAAACTGCAATGATGTAGAAAAGGTGGAGAAACAAATATTTCTATTTTGTATTTAGAACATGTAGAAAGATGTACTCATATCACAAGAGCAAAATGAAATACTCAGTATTAGTAATTAAGCATTAGTAATTAAGATGAATGTTACACAACATCTCTTAGAGGGATGTGGTAAACATTTTCAAATCATCATACCTAAATAGCTTTCACTCAAGAATCGTAAAAGAAATTTGGCTCAGGACACAAGAATTCATCTGGATGCTATCTTTGACTGGACCAACGGTATGGTTGTTAGAGACATAGGCAAGCTTTTGGGTATTGCAATTCTTTCCTCAGGCCTCTAAGACAGAAACAGATACAGCTGAGCTAAATCGCAGATGGAACAAAAGCTTGTTAAGTATGGTCATTATCACTTGTAAAGTACAGGGGTTAGAGGATATTGGCTGGGGAGATCTCTAGCCTGCTTCAATTTTTGGTCAATCTAGGAATATTGGTAAAATTAAAAGGACTGAAAGTGTGCTAATTCTGCCAGTGTTCAAAATGGCAAGCTGAATGACACAGTTAATCAAAAGCCAGGCAGACTGTACCAAAAACAACAGAAAAGATAATAAAAGAATCTAGGTTATTAATAAAGAATTAGATAAAAATATAATTAATAGTAGTCATCATGGTTAAAATTAAATAGCTCTTGCAAAAAATCTTGACTTCATTTTTTGAAGATATCAGATGGTGAAAGGTAACTGCATAGCAATAAAAACACCTGAGTCTGACTTAATTCTACATGACGTGCTCATTAAAAATGTAGCATTACACAATATCAATAAAACATATTGAACGGATTAAGAACAGGATGTCTTAATTCAGTTGATGGCCCCAGCCCTGGCCCGAGCCCCAGCCCCACGCTGCCAGCAGGCCCCAGCCAGCACCACTGCCGCTGCGGGCCCCAGCCCCACCGCCACCGTAGCCATTGGCCTTGGCCCTGGGGCCAGCCACGGCCACATGCTGCTGGTGGGCCCGGCCCCACCCAGCCCCCCTGCCACTGCGGGCCCTGGCCCCAGCCCCACCGCTGCTATGGGCCCAGGCCTGGGCCTGGCTCCGGCCATTTGCTGCCGGGCCAGGGCTATTGGCAGTGCCAGGATGAGGCTGAAGCCCGGGCCCGTGGACCCTGGCCTCTACCTGGTGCTGCTGGCGACCCCAGCCATGTGCTGCTGGAGGGCCCAACCTTGGCCGGCACCGAAGTGGGCCCCAGCCCAGTGCCAGTACCGGGCCAGGGCTGTCAGCAGCACTGAGATGAGGTCAGGACCGGGGCTGGGCCCAGCCCCATCCCAGTGCTGTTGATGGCCCCGGCCCTGGCCCTGTGCTGCTGACAGCCCTGGCCCTGCATGGGCCCAGCCCCAGCTGGCACCACCACCTCTGCCCACCCCAGCACAATGCCACTGCTGGGCTGGGGCCCGCGTAGGGCTGGGGCTGTGGACCTGTGTGGGCCCTGGCCCCATCCTGGCACTGCAGCTGGCCCTGGCCATGTGCTGCTGGTGGGCCTGGGCCTGGCCCTGGCCTTTACTGCCACCGCTGGCCCCAGCCCAGTGCTGCCCTGGCCCCAGCCCCATGCTGCCAGTGGGCCCTGGCCCATGGCCAGAATGAAGGGGGCAGCAGTGATATGATATAGTGTAGGCTGGTGCAGAGGTGGATGGACTGTGAGGGCAAGAAGAAGGAGTTAAAATGTAAAATCATCAGGAAAGGCTGATGGAGGGCTTCACAGAGATGAATCAGATTGCTAACACAAGAAATTTTTTTATTGACAATCTAGAAACTTTTTACTGACTGCCAAACTTTTTTACAGACATTTTTTTACTGATATGCTTTATATAATATAAACATAACTCTTCTGCCAGGCCCTGTCCTGCTGCCAGCCCCCAGTTAGAAAGACTGGGTTCAAATTTAGGAGTTTAACATCAACCATAATCAAAAAAATTAACAAGTTTGGTTGTCAATAAAAATTTGCACCAAAAAAAATTTCTTGAGGTGGCAACCCTGTTTGACTGCAGCAATGATTTTACATTGTGCTACCCACACTGGGGCTTCCTTCTCACCCCAATATTCTGTTGCCCCTGACTATATCCTGCACCATGCTGCCCCTGCAAGGCTACTCCCCAACCTTACACTCACCAGTCCTGCTCCCCCTCTCCCCTCATCCTGGCACCCCCCCGCCCACAGAAGCCTGCCTACAACCCAGCAGTATTACAGGCACCCTGGGGTACAGCAGTACATGGCTGGCAGAATGCTCTGTGCAGGATGCTGTGCTCTGTACCAGGTGGCACTGCTGTATTCTATCTGCCAGAGCTACAATCAAGCTGAAGCTCCTTAGTGTTAGTACTGAAGTTTAATTTTTTTTAAATTAATTTTACTGGCAGCCATCTTTAGCTTGATTTTTTTACTGAAACCCTGAAAGGAGGGAGGATGCAAGAACAAGTATTTCCCATTTTAATTAACATCAATGATACTTTTATTGTTCACTAAAGATCAAGAACACTTTTCCTTCAAATTCTATGAAATCTTCTGTTGTTGTCTTCCTCTTGACATTCCCTACTCTGCTTTGCTCAGGTGTGTAACAGTCAAGCACAGGGGTGGATGACGGGGGTAGGGGGTTAGTGTACTGAAGTGGTAACACCCCCTTCGACTGTATAGTGCACATGTAGTGAACTTTCCGCTGGTGAGAACTCTGGTCCTAGCCACTGGTCTTCACTACCAGTCACACATCCTATGACAGGAAGCTCTCCACTGTACCCACCCCCACTACAAATTTCCAGATCCATTCCTGATCAGTCATGATTTCTTATAAATATCCAGCTGCAACAAGTGTAAATAGCTCACCCTACAAACATTATTATTCCTGTAATTAGACATTTTCTATAGATCCTGTATATGCCTAATCAGCATGGCACTTAGCAGTGAAGTGTGTGAGACAAGCCATGCAAGCTCAAAAGCAAACGGTAATGGCATCACCAAGAAACTATAAGCATGAGCACAACAAATAGAGGTTCAAAATATTATCCTTAAAGCCAGATAGAAGTTATGATTATCAGCTGCTGGAAGCAGATAAAAGTAGATACTTAAAAGATCTGTTGTACATAAGGTATTTTAACAGATTCTATTAGTACGTTCAAATCATTTATCAGTGATGAAAGAACCACTCTGATGAATTACTAGACTATCCCAATCCACCAAGTGGAAAGATGAATGCCATTTTCCAAAATACCTGAAAGTTTTCTGTTTAAACCAATTAATTCAAGAGTCTGTTTGGAAAAAAACCCCCAAAACAAAACAATTGTTCTGTGGGGATACGTGAATTCTACACTGTTTGAAAATCCCTGCCATCTGAC